ATATATATATATATATATATGTACATATATACTAAATTGTTAGCTATTTAAACTGCGCGCCGAATTGGTTTTTCGGACTTACAAACGCAATTAAACTATTGGAATAATATCACAAATTAAATTGACAAACAAATTTTGATGTTCAATTCAGTATCATATTAGAAGGAGGTAATGTGCTAAAAAACTTTAAATAAATTTATTGCGAAAAATATTATCTCGGCCAGGACTTGAACTCGGATCTTTTGTATTAGCGTCCTAAGCCATTAGATCACCGACTTTGAGTGGCAGCTTGAGCAAGACCTCGGTGGTCTAATGACTTAGAACGCTCGTACGGAATATAAAAGATCCGAGTTCAAATCCTAGCCGAAGTAATATTTTTCGCAATAAATTTATTTAAAGTTTTTTAGCACATTAACATCCTTCTAATATGATATTGAATTGAATATCAAAATTTGCTTATTAATTTAATTTGTGATATTATTCCAGTAGTTTAATTTCGTTTGTAAGTCTGGAAAACCAATTCGGCGCGTAGTTTAAATAGCTAAAAATTTGGTATACATGCATGTACATATATTTTAGGCATTAAAAATCTAGCTTCGACCGTTATAGCCTTGGATATTCTTACTTACAGTTAGTATTTATTATATTATAGTTTTAACAAAATCATTTATTATTATAAAATATCTTTCAAAAAAGATTATAGGAATGTTGTTGTAAGCTTTTAAAAAAAAATAAACATTTCAAAAAAAAATATTTCAAACTTACAAATGTTCCTGCATTATTAAAATTATATTTCATGCTGTAATACTTCCTACAAGAATTCATACCATAAAGATATTGTTTACTTTCCATGATAACAGATACATATATTTGATAGCATTCGCTGTGAATATGAAGGATACACGATATGGCTAGCTAACAAGATGATCGGCGAATTTAAACACAAATTGGAATCATCCAACGCGGATACTTTACGAATCTCTGGTGACGTTGTGCTTTATCAACTTAGTATGAGTTATACTTAAAGAATTGATGAATTACGAACGATATTTGATAATTAAAGGTAAAGAAGATGAACGTTAGAATATAGAAGTTGGTGAGATTTGATGCTTTGTAAATTGTTTTCAAACATGTAAAACACAAATGTATATGAAATATTTTCGATAAAAGCTAGACTGTAATAGCAGAACCCTGCTTAAAAAGTCCGATAGAATCGTGTTTTTGGTTCATAAATTTCAGATTACTTATCTGAAATATCTGATAGCTTTTCTATATTTCTCTATCCTTTTTTTTTGTCATATAGCTTATATATCATATTTAATCAATTTCTATCTAGTCATATTTTATCAAAATCAATAATATTCTATCATGTTTTTCGTTCGTAAATTTCAGGTTATTTATTTGATATATTTGATAGATTTTTTATATTTTTCTATCGTTTTTAATCAATTTTTATCTGGTCATGTTTTATAATTAATAGTATTGTATTGTTTTAATCGTAAATTTCATATTATTTTAAAAAAAAAGCTTTTTATAATATTGTAATTAAAATACATTATTAGTTATTTTCTATTATTCTTTTGTAGAATCATGTATATTTTCACATGCAATTTATTACTTTTTATTAATTACAATTATGCATCGGAAATTTACAATTTTTGAAAACGAAAATATTGGAATCGACGGGATATTGGATTCGAACCTAAGACTTACGGGGTGATAGTCTAGCACTCTAACGCTGAGTTATCCCACGCTTGGATACTTTAGCATGTAATGTAGAGATAATGTGATTATAGAGACATTTCTGGATTAAGTTACGTAGATTCTTATAAACATTGTATCATGTTTACCTTACCTTGTTTACCGTATCTTAAATTTATCATATATCTTAACGTTTTTAATCTTAAATTTTAGATTACTTACTTGATATAAATTTTCTATATTTCTCTATCATTTTTATTATACAATATAACTTAATTATCATTTTTAAACAATTTTATCACGTTTTATAAAACTAATAATTAATAACATCCTATGTTTTTGAATTGGAAATTTCAGATTACTTATTTAAAATATTTGATAGAGTTTCTATATTTCTGTATCATTTTCATCAGCTCAAATATCGTTTTCAATCAATTTCTACCTAACCATGTTCTATCCAAATTAATAATATTCTTTCGTGTTTTTGCTTTGTAAATTTTAGAATCTGAAATTTAATCTTAAATTTTACAATTTGAAATTTACGATTAAAGATATGATAGAATATTATTAATTTTGATAAAACACGCGACTAAAATACAATAATTGATTAAAACCGATATTTAAATAGTATAATAAAAACGATACAGAAATAAAGAAAATATGTCACTTTAAACAAGTTATCTGAAATTTATGATTCAAAAACATGATAACATATTATTAATTTTAATACATGACCAGATAGAAATATGGTAGATTCAAAACAATATCTAAGCTATATAACGAAAACGATAGACAAATACAGAAAATCTATTTAATATAGCAATAAGTAATCTGAAATTTACGATTAAAAACGATATAATGTTTATAAGAAATTATATAATTTAATCCAGAATGTTGTTATATGTTAGAATAAGATAGATTTTATGGAAAAATTATCGTATTTTAGTTAGCAATAAGCAGTAATATGACATTTAGGTTATTAAATAATTAATTACTCAATGAATAATTAATTATTAAACTTAAATGAATAATTAATTATATAACAATGGTGGAATAATTTTTTTATAACATTTATCTATTTAAACATATAGGGACATTTTCGGATTAAATTGTATAGATTCGCATAAATCCTCACTTATTTTATACTAAATTATTTTATATTTTAAATCAAATAATATAACAAAGAAGTATATTATGTATACAGTTACTTATTCTATCATTTAAATAAGATAAGATATAACTATAGCTTTATTACGTATGCTAAACTCTGCAAAATAATTGTTTCAATGATCTGAAGAATGTCATATTATATTGCCAACGATAGGATACAATAATTTTTCTATAACATCTAATCTTATTCAAATATATAGGAGACGTTTTCAGATTAAATTATATAGGTTTATATAGGTATAAATATTCTTTCGTTTATTTCTTATTATTTCAGACAATGACCTATGTGTATCGCTAACGATAGAATATGATAATTTTTCTATAATATCTGTCTTATTCAAACATATAGGCGTATTAGGATTAAATTGTATTGGTTCATATAAACATTCTTCTTATTTCTTATTAAATCAGATAATATGATAGGATCATATAGAGAAGCTTGTAGTCTCCGATAAGTATTTTGTCATTTATTTAATATAAGATATATATTATATAAGATATATATTATTTAATATAAGATATATAAAACGATAGAAATCTATAACTTTTCCATCTATCGTGATTTTAATCCGATAGATACGATAGATTCTGATTGTATAGGACTGAATGAAAATTGAAAAATTGTATAAAATTCCTATCAGATTTCTATAAATTTCTACCGTTTTTTATCAATTTTTTTAAGCAGGGAAGATAATTAGAAAGTACTAATTCTTATTTGGTATAAATGTTGCAAATATTCATGAATGAATACCCTTTTTAGAAAAGAATATCCTTTTATAAAAATATTGAATCCCTATATCTATGAATATCCCTTTTTATCTATGAATATTCCTTCATAAAAATAAAAATTAAATTTTCAAATTAATGCTCATAAATTATTATTTTCATGTCTCATCTCCAAAAATATTTTTATTTTTTATTTTAGAAAGAAATGTTTTAAATAAAAATAGAATTGTTTCCAAAAAAAATAAACAAAAGAAACTTTGATAAATTGATCGCTCTATTGCATAATATCTTCAATTCCATATTTCGATTGAAAATAGGCTATTTTGACCGGAAGTCGATTTTTTTAATGATTTATTAGGATCATATACTGTGAAGACATAATAAGTAAAAAATGAAGTCTTTAGCAGTCGAAGCTGAACCTTAAATGTTAATACACGTAATTCGATATAAATTTATATATCATATTTATATCCTGAATTGCGCTGAATTAGTTTTTTGGACTTCGGCTGGATTGTTCCATCTTTCGGTAAACTTCAGCTCACTGTCTTGTACTCTTATTCTCTTATGATCTTACTCTTTTATTTTTTCGTTCATCCAGAAGATAAATTATCACATAGTTTGTCCGAAGATAGAACAAGTCCTTAGAAACGCAAACTGAACTATTATAGTAATTTTAATTATTACAAATTAAATTGACAAACAATTTAATAATTTGATGCTTAATTGGCATTATTTTAAAGAAATCTTAATATACTGGAAATTTGTAAATAAGTTTATTGAAAAAAAATATTGATAACTGTATACTATAAGGGATCGAGCTTCGATATCTTGCTCTTGACATCATAAGCATTAAGATCATAATCATCAGTGACTTTCAACAAGTTTTAATCAGCGTTTGTTATTCCTGGAAAGTTATTAACAAAAAAGTTTGAGAAATAATATTTCGATAATTATTTACATCAGGAACTCCAACGATCTTGACAGTGACATATGTTGTCATGGTCATGATCCTAAGTAATCTCCAATAAGTTTTACCTATCGCTCCGTCATTCATTAAGAAGTTATTAACAGTCAAAGATAGTAATTTTTTCCCTATTTTACATGAAAAGATGATTCTAGGCAAGGAGAGAGGTATAAGATGGATCGAATAAAGGAATATGACTTTCCACGAGAAATGAGATCTATCTCATCTCCTTCCTGTCTATAGTCGCATGACTACAGTATAATAGCACCCCTTATGGAGAAAAACTTTCAAATGTTGATACTCAAATTTGAATGTAAATCCCAAATTTTGGGAGTTTACTCTGAAATTTGTGTGTTTACACTCAAACATTGAGTACATATATCTAAAGATTGAACGTTTACACTCAAGTTTGAGTTTACATACTAAACATCTAAGGTTACCTTTAACACTTGAGTACGACACACAATAAATGAGTGTACCCTCAACTAAAACTTTAATCTTTGAGTATCCTTAAAATTGAGTATATATATATATACTCAATTTTATATATATATATATACTTAATATATATATATATATATATGTATATACGTGGGTTATTTGATAAGTTTGGTAAATTTTCATGAAATGACGCTACAATCCATTGCATCTGCAAAATACTCATTGACGGCGACAATGACTTCCTCATTTGACGAGAATTTCTTCCTACCGAGCCAAGTTTTTAAGTTTGGGAACAGAAAGAAGTCACACGGGGCCAAATCCGGAGAAAAGGGTGGATGAGGAATCAATTCATAGCCCAATTAGTAGTTTTGTCATTGCATCAGTCGACTTGTGGGACGGCGCGTTATCTTGATGGAAGAGCACTTTTTGCGCGCCAATCTCGTTTCAAATGACTATCAAACGTGAAATATGCGTCTTTTCTGGTTAAAATTTGGCCTGAAGGGCCTGAAGGGTTTGGATCTTTCGAGATGTCACGTCATCAATGGATTGTAGCGCCATGGAAATTTACTAAACTTATCAAACGACCCGCGTATATATATATA